CCTGGAAAAGAGTCAAAAGGGTGCCTTCGAGCGTACAAATGTCAATGCTGTCATGGAGAGCAGAATAACCACGATTAATTTTGCAAGGCCGGGGTCGTCTGTCAGTGGTGTTTCGTCTAGAGCTTCAAGAGATAGTCTTGATCGGGTTCATGGTACTGAAGGAAACAATGCAGTCGATGATTTGGAGAAACATCATAGTCTTGAAGCGGAGACAGGAAAACAGAGCAGTCAAATGTACGTTTAGAAAGAATTTTGTACTATCAATAGAAAGACCGGGTTGATCCTCTCACACAACTAATCTATAACTAGTCCGACACCCCAACTAGGCCATTTACCTGTAAATTCTTCCTTGACCAGTGTTCGTTTCCAGCAATGAAATCTGATCTAACTACTTTCCCTCTCCTCAAAACCTTCCCCCCACTTTCCCACTTGACGTAAACCCCCTCTACCCGTCCATCGTAAAATTTTGACGGCTGTTGTACCATATTCTTGAGTTTCTCCTCCGAAGGTATGGTATGACCTTCATACATGATAGGAACAAGCGGGATCGTCGTACGATCCAAGAGCACTTGCAACGTCTGTCTATCGACAAACGTATCAGTGCTTCGGTCATATAAATCATATGCCATGAAGCGATTTGGGAGTCGAGTGTAAGGGATTGAATGTGTAGCATATAACCATTCTCCAAAGAGGATGTACCGTTCCGCAAAATACTCGTCGCGGTTGAGTAGCTGGAACAGTTCCTCGCGATGGTGTTCAACCCAGAGATCCAGTTTTTTAAACTGCTCATGGCTGGAGGAATTAACATAATGTGAACGATTCTGTACAACGATTCGCGACCGGTCCGAGGAAAGCGAGAAGCCCATGTTGGCGCCGTCGACCTTTTCCGTGACAATCACATGCCCTGAGAAGCTCATAGATAAGGCAGAGGAAGGAGGTAAGATGATATCGTCGGATGTTGCGGCTCCAAGGTCAAGAAGGTGTCCTGTTCGAGGGAACTTGTATATAACAATAGGGGGGGAGAGACGGGAAATGAGGTCGCGAGCTGCTTTGAAGGACCGAATGATAATGATTGCCTTGAATCCTTCTTTCAATGAGGGGCGAACAAATATATTATTCATTTGGTCCACCGCATTCCGCACGCGATTCCCTGGCGGAAGTGTAGGGTGCCCGACGCGCATCTGGGCCCGTGACAAACAAATATCTCGTTCATAGTCGAACCATACACACACTGGGCTCAGGGCCCAATTGGAGGCGAGGTCGAGCCATCGTCTACGGTCCTTGTCAGCAGTATTACATCTATCCAACAGTACCCGGCCGCTTCTTTTATACCCAATCTCGGTCTCGCAAGACGCACGACTTCCAGTCTCGTCTTGCGAAATGTATGTCCAACTTTTGCGATTTCTAGTGATGAGGGATTTAGAAAACCAGGACTTGCCCGATCCAGGAAGACCGACCAAAACAAACAAATTTGCGTCAGCCTCGAGCGTCCCATCTATGATCAGATCACACGGTGGAGGTTCCGAGGGGCGATCTGGATAGATGGACTGTCGTTTCCAGATAGTACTGCACCACTTGGATACAAATTGTTCCTGCTGAGGCGTCTCTAAGCTTCCAGGTCTGAGACTACGAAGGGCAGAAACGGCATCATTGGCGGAAAGTTCGGGATGGTCTTGACCAAAGCGCGGTTTGCTGAAACCGTACGCTGCAAGGTAGCATGCGATAACGGTTCCGGCACGACCTTTGCCTCCTCCACAGTGCACCAACATTGGAAGCTTAGTCTCGTCTTCCACCAATCGCATGATAATATCCATCTGCTCAATAGAAGGAGGGTGGTAGTTGGGAATCGGGAGGAAGATGTTGGAAATGGTCTTCCGAGTAAACCAATTTGGTGGAAGGGGTTCCTCTTCAGTCAAAGTGAGGACTGTGCGAAAGTCCATTGAAGAGAGAGCGGCAATGTCGTCTTCGCTTTTGGGGGTAGACATGGCGGCAAGATGGAAGGGAATAATCCAGCGGAAAAAGCGAGGTAATGTTTGGAATTTTAATGCTGTAATTGTGCCAATGGGTATCGAGAGACGAGTTCGAGACTCCAGGCAGAGCGTAGGGACCAGCGTAAGACTTTGGATTGTGCTCTTCAAATTCTCTGACCAAGGTTGGGTTAATAACGCGGATAAGCGTGCTGGTACTTGTTTCAATTCGGATTCTTGAAATACTTGCCCCCATTCTGAGTAATGGGAACACTTCTCAATCCGTTTGAGACAATAATTTTGTACCTTTTCATCTAAAGCAAGCTCGAATGCACGGGCGTAGGAGAGCATGGCAAGCTTGTATTGAAAAAGTGCGAATGCAGAATCTGCTAATCTGAGGAAACCTGGAAAAGACTCTGGCTTTGAGAGTATGAGGTCTACACAGTAGAACTCCGCGGTGGCATAGTCGGATAACAGATGGAGAGTGAAGACGAGGTGATCTAGGAACTCCGAGGAAGGTTGGTTCGGAAACTGGCCAGGGAGAAGAGAATGGATGCTACGGTCTACGTCTGGATCATCAGTAGCACTGAGAGTGACATAGAATTGTTTGGAAGGTAGACCTAGACTCTTTCGTAGCTTCTGTCCCTCCGCCCATATTATGGCCGCGAAATAAACTTCTTTGATCTGACTTTTACCCGCACCAGCGCAATAGATACGCGTAGTATCGGGGTTGAGCGTCACGCTATCAATCTTGTCTTTTGGCACTCTTGCAACCTCTGATTCGGTTAAAAGGGCAATGTAAAGAGGTTCTTGCAGTTGCACGTATGCTGGAACGGCAGAAAGAGCATTCGAAACCAGTTTTTTGACGCCATTTCCCGTAAGGACGAGACCCAAGGCGGTATCGGAGAGGCTAAGATTAAATTCGGAAGGCATGTCGAGTCCCACTATGCAATAATTTTGTCAAAAGTGAGCACAGTGCTCTTTTATTGGGGAGTATACACAACCCCGGCACCGTGAGCGTTGAATGACGGTCATTGACGGATGATGACTTCGGGAATGCTTGTGGCTGTACAGTGGAATTACTCAAGATCGAAGCTCGGATAAGCAAAAATTAAGAATTTATCTGTAGGTAAACCGAAATTTCCGCTAAAACACCTGCAAATCCTATAAAAGACAAAAGCAAACAAAATTGAAATATGCTCTAAAATGAGCAAGCAAGCTTGTATCAAAGTATGCACTGTATTGGCCCCATCCGAGTCCCTGACAAGTGTGACATCGTTGGACATATCGAACATACTCAATAAGGCCCACAATTAGAGGAACAGCTACAAACGGAGGGAGCCCCGGAATGTGTGGTGCAGCTCTCGCCGCTGCCTGTCGCACCATGCCACCAGTATGTCCTAGCAAAGTTGATCACACCCGGGTTCCTATTCCAGAAATTGAGTAAAGAGCTGAGATGAGCCACGAAACTTGGCACTCACGAATCGTGAGGAGGGGAACTTGCTGTCCAGCAACCGCCGGACATACAGCCAGTAGTCGTGACCGTACCACTAATACTGTTGGATCCGAAGCCTACACTGACAAGACCCCAGCAGGCTGAGTATGATGTGCTAGCCAGCGTGCCACTTTGTTGAGCGGTGGTGATGTCGTAAGTAGCGGTGCATACTGCAGAAAGAATGAACGACATCGTTCAAAACAGACTCGGAGGTGCATCGATCTTACCAGGGGTGCTCTGATCCCAGCCTGTATAGTAGGTGATAAAGACGTGGTATGACGGCTCTTGCGAAATACATGGACCTTCCCCGCAAGCTCCACCACTTTGAGAGGTTTCGGTGGCAAACTGCCATTCAACCTCTAGATGCTGGGAATATGGAGCATCTGCGAAGACCTGATCCTCGGTGAGAGCTCGACCTTGAATGCTTGTAGAATCCATAGTAACATTCTTCCGAGCGCGGAATGCACTAATCTCGGCAGGAGAAAGGGGAGTCCCCGGTGCTCCATCGCCTGAAATGAAGGTGGTCAGGTCGGTGGGATTAGGTAGAGCATGGGCCACAGAAGCCATGAGAGTGAGGGCTGACAAGTACTTGAGCTGCATTCTGGGGAAATGTGAGTGATCGTGAAGTTGAACCACGATCTTATTTGGTCTAACTGACATCTCTTTATACTCTGGATGGGTTATGCAAGCTGCATTCAAACTTCTGGCATGTATATCAGTTAATTCGAAATTGCTTGACCGTGATATTCAACGCAGAGGATTTTCAGAGGCTAGAGTATGAAATTTGACGGGCATCTACTCGTTGAAATGTCGGAAGAAAGAGAGTGTTGAAAAAATATCGCATTTCCCATGTTCCCCACAATCACTATCACCTTTCAACGAAATTAAAGGTTGCAAGTCTCTACCGCAGATCATCTTTCAAGTGGTGGCATTGCGGTGTTATTTGTCTATGTCTTCCGCAGAGTATATTCATGGAGTAAAAGTACGTACAAAGTCGTCGCCTGTTTAGCCTCACAGCAAGGGCCAAGCAGATCGGTAAGAATGGATTAAACAAAGCCGGGCATGGTGAAGAAGATGAACTTAGCTTGGCAGTTTGATCGCTGTGCTATGGTAATATTCAACGCAGAGGGTTTGAACTTTGCATATGCGGCGTGACAGGGAAGTGAGCTCGCGTTCGAAAAATACCGCATTCGCCGGTCATCCTCGATAGATATTACATCCTGTGTTATCTTCCGATACTCTATACTCAATCACTGGCAGCTTGAAGGCAAACTTGAATAAAGCTCCCGCCGGAACAAGATTCGACATTGTCTGTGAACATTCAGCCTGGAGGGTTCCAGGAGGAGATTGATACGCTTCCTTGCTTATCGTACTGCCAATTGCTTACCACCAGATAGCTAGTAGGTCACGAAGCCTGACTGAATGCTCCGAATTCACGCGATGACTTTCAGCAGGGCGTGTCCAAAGGGAAAATTGATTAACTGTCTTCATCAAAGCGTATCCAGCCGTCTTTATATCCATCCTTGTGTCAGGCGATCGGCCTGATGGTCTAGGCGGGGTATGCCATTGCGATTAGAGGGCTTTCTTTCGATGAGGTCCCGGGTTCAATTCCCGGTAGGGCCCTTCAGATCTCATTGCGTTTGGCTCGTTTTACTTGCTGAAATTTTCTTCGAAGTTTGCCTTTGATCTCTTATTTTCAGAGCTTTCCCTATCACCAACGAGAAATACGATTTCCAGGTGACTAGTCTTGATCGTATCATCGACGAAAGTTCAAACAGCCCCAGTTCATCGGTACTGGTGTGTGTCGACGCGTCCATGGCTTTGCTAATACCGTATGATCCTTCGAGGCCAGTGCATGGGAAGTAAGTCTACTATTCCGGCAATATCAATCCCCGTCGTGGCCTCGGCGAGTTCGTCTGTTGTGTTGGCCTTCGCAGGTAGAATGTAATAGAAACGCAAAAATGTGATGTACAGAATATCCCGAATTTCCCAGATAAATTTGCGACTTGACCTCGTGCTTACGATCATCTATAATCGCCGGCCAGCACGCCGGGCGAGCTTCTCTTGCAGATATGCGCTTTTACGCCTGGAAGAAAGCATTAAGACAGGTATGTACTATCTCCGAACCCGTTCCTCGGCACCGGCGATACAGTTCACTGTGGATCGAAGGATGGATGTAGAAGAACGCAAAATTGCAGCAGGCAAATGCAAGGCATTAATATTAGGTCAAATTTCCGAGTTTGTCCTCGTCTGGTATTTATAGCTATGTAGCTGCTGGCAAACCCTAAGCAGCAGGCTCAAACTCCGTGGACTACTGCCGAAATCTATCTACATTCTAGAATGCGTTGCTGCACTACTCAGAGAGAGGCACTGTAAGCTTGAGGAAGCAAGTTTTACGGCGTTAATAGAGAACAAGATAGCATGTTTGATGTATTCTGGCCAAGGTAACTTAGCAATTTTAGGGTCATCTTATGTAATTGTGTTTCTGCTGCTTGCTTACCTTCGCGGCCGAATTGTACGGTACAAAATTGCACCGACCCGGATGGGCGCATTTACATAGGTTATGCGACGAGACGTGCCCCCTGAGTATTTCACTGGAATAGTTCTCAGTTCCGAGCCTCCTTCCGGTTCTTGGACTACCAAGACGCGCGGTCCTATGATCTTAAATTACAGTTTTGACTACTACTGAGCAGTGTCTCTGAGCTCCACGAGTCGCGACTCAGGTAGAAAGCTTCCGTTGGACGGATAGCAAGTGATTCCGGGTTTTAGAAATAGCACCTAGGGAAAACTTTCTTCAACGAGGGAGCTGAGGTGAGATAACCAGCTTGGACTGGACCTTTTCCGGATCGTGGTAGCACTTGCACGCGCACGCAATTTCGTAATTCTGACATCAAGGGCTAAGTCCTCAGTTCTGAGCCCCCTGTGTACCGATTATCAAGTGTTGAGGCACAAAAGATTTATTTTCAGGGCGCTGCGCAATTTCAGCCGTTGGAAACAAGTGGCAAGGCGAAGCAGGGATTCGGTTGGCTGCAACGGCGGGGCCGGGGAGCGAATTAATTCCAAGTCCCTCGTGTTTCTTAGCGGCTGATATACGGAAGGTTGGAAAGGGGGGCAAATGGTGAATGTGGTATACAACCGAGCGCCGTTCCACGACATCTGCTGATCAAGGATACTTCAAATGCTGGCTAGAGTGTGCTTGAGTCTTTACCAGTCATATTTCGGGTCTCCGTATATTTCCACGTGATACAGAGAGGTTGAAGCATTAGAAGGTCGGACGTAGATCGGCAGCCGTGTACAGCAAGATATCCGCTCACAGCTTCGAGGACGTAGAGTATAGCTTCGCGTTTATGGTCCGATGAAGCTCCGTGTCGATTGATGGTCAAAGCTAGAGTCTGAGCGTAGTGCATAGCCTAGAGGTGCAGGCCGTGCCACAGGAATTGAAGACACAACAAAGAGTAAATTCCGAGGATACAGGGCTAAGTTATTGACGGGCAATATGCGTACGGAACTTGAAGTAGACGCATATAACTTACCTATACAAGCTGTTAGAATCCACGGAAAGGTCGGAGGCGGGAGGCGGCTTGATGAATTCGTTTTTTTTTGTCCATGTGATGTTGAGGTGATATTGACCCACATTCATAGGGTAGAATGGATTTGGAGTTTTTAATTTTACTCTCAGAGCTCCATTCGTTGCGTCAGAACGAGTTAGCACTTGCAATGCTGCTAGAGTTTTGTTAAAACCGACATATGTACCGGGAAAGGGTCACTTGGACATGATATTGCAACTCGTTGAGAGCGGTGATTGCGAATCAAGCTGTGTAAACCTGTCAAAAGAGAATATACGGTAATGCACTCTTGGTTGCTTCATCTCGCTCTTTGGAGCAGTATTTCTGGACCCACATCATACGGAATTGAGTTGTGGGGTGGAATACATCATTTGGTGCCAACGTTGCTGGTTGCTGGTGTGCTTTAAAGACTCTGTCGGGCGGAACAAAGCTAGCGGCGCAGTGTGCACCCAGACCCGAAAAGCCAAATGGAGACATTTTGTTCCGATTTTGCCCTAAGAAATCTGGCGGTCCGGGTATAGATTACGTAATACCGGAGTAGCTATCATTTCGGGTGTTTGGCCGTTGGAGTTTTTATCTCTTTCCACCACCCACTATCCTCTAATATCCTCCCGCTCGTTGTTCTCTGCAGCGAGCTCGGCATTCCAGTCAGCGCCCCCTCTCTCTCTCCGCCAGAACTTTCGTTCCTACAGAGCTTCCTTAGAATCTTTGCTGTGTTCATCTACGGCTATTTCATTATATTGGACCTCGATCGCCTGTTCTGGACGACCTATAACGAATATCTGGATTCCGCAACCACCTTACTCGCCCTTATCTATACCTTCCGACGATGTCCAACTATCTGCCTGTTCTGCTCTACTCTGTTGGCGCCAATGTTGTCCCAGACGACTCGGCGCTTACAACAACCCAACCTAGGGGGCAGGTCGACTATCTTAGTCATGAATGGGAAGAAGAAGATGTATGGCGCTCATGGCGGAACATGACCAGACAGAAGAATGAGATTGCAAACGGCGTACGGCTGGAGAATGCAAGTTGGAGAACTTGGTGGAAACAGCGGAATAAACTGAAGACAATCAGCCCGGAAACCTTGAATTGGTCTGTATAATTTACTTTGCTCGCCTGTCAAATGTTCTTTTCTAATGAAAAATAACTATATGTCAACCTTATTCGGCTTTCTAGGCTGAAAGATTCCGACGTAACTTGGCTTTATGGCCCGCTCCATACTGCAGTCGAGTGGACACCACCCCCGAAGCCCAAGCCACATGAGACGGAACACAAAATGGCGTCTACTCATGACCGTCTCGACCTTTCGGAGCCAAAACACAAGTCTATTCTGAAGTATCGGACCATCAGCGAATTACTGACCGGCGATCTGCCCAGTCCCCTGTTCAGTCCTGCAGAAAGTGACAACGAGCCGGATGGAAACCAGAAATCATCTCGGGACGTTTCCGATGCCGATAGTTCAGCCAGCTCGCTCCGCCCTTCACTTTCTCAAACGAAATCGGATACCCACATTACCCGGTGGGGTCCAGATAGAGCCTTTAGAAAAGACTCCCCCCCTCGAGTTGAGCCCACGGGCGGCGCCTATCCAGCTCCTTCCACCAATGACGGACCCTCTGATCCTTCCCACCACGTGTCCAGCACACCGAATGCAGGTGGTTATTTTGCTTCCCAGATTCAGGGTCAGAACGAACAACCCTCATCATCCAGTTCTTCCCCTAAGGACGGCTCTACTGAAGTCACGCCTACCGGGAGTGTTCAGAATGGTCACAGAAGGAGGCACATCACCTTTAACACGTTCGTCGAACAGTGTATTGCTATCGACAAGCCGAAACCCAAAGATACCGCGTTTGGTGCCATCATCAGCGAGGAGGACGGCTGGTCCGGGAGGAACGATCCGGCCAAAGCTGGCTATGATGATGGGTAAGTCAGAGCTCGGTATGCAGAATTCAAATCTCATCTTCTTATCGTCAGATATGACGAGGACGGCGAGGATGGATTTGGTGACTGGGAAATGAACGAATGTGCCATTGGTACAGACTCGGAGTCTGATGTTGACCAAGAAGCTCTAATGCGTGGTGAGAATGCATCTGATGACGAGGATGAGGATGAGGACGGTATTATTGAAATGAGACCGAGGCGGGATAGCTTCAATAACAAGAACAATGCCAGACTTAGGTCATCGTCCAAAGTCTCTTCATCCTCATCCTCCTCATCCGGTGAATGTTCTTCGTCTGCTTCTGTTCCTTGTAATTCGTCCCATTCTTCCTCAAACCGAAAAAACCTCCCTCCTCACGCTCGTCGTCGAAAACGAAGTGAAGGCCCCAATCACATCCTGCTACCCCGCAAAAACTCGTCGTCCCTTCCCCGCAATAGTTCGTCCACCGCTCTGAGCTCCTCCGATAAGGATATGGTCTCTATCGCGCCTATAGCTCCCACCATGCTCAAGACAGGTAACTATACGTCTTGGGATGGCTTCGGCATGCAGTCACCGTATCAACATCCTGCCGCTGGAACATGGTCGGAGGGCTTCGGAGACGAGGGCTTTAGCGACGATGGTAGCAACATGCGTGTTGGTCCTGGAGGTGCTCAGCTATACTTTGGTAACGGCAACGGCAGCGATAGCGAAAGTGGCACGCCTGTGGGATTGGTGTATATGCCTCCGCCATCGACCAGATATGGGGGGTCGCGGATACCCCGTGTCCACTCCAGTGCCAGCCTAGATTCAGAGGCTGAGGTGGAGCTTCGAGAGGATTCGAATCAGGAAGAGGCAGACAAAGTAACGGGGCCAGTAAGGAAGGACGAGAGAGAGGATGCGAACAAAGAGTACCATCACCACGAGGCTTCCATTTCTGTGAACTCGGATAAGGATAATGTGCGGTCAAATGCTGTACCGATAGTCGTGCGGACTCCTCCGACCGTCCAGCTTGCCCACGGAAGCCTGGAGGACGGGGAGAAAGATGCGTGTGACTACTTCAGTGGTCCCGATCTTGGTGAAGACTTTTCTCGAAATTCCAAGTCTTCATCTAGGAGGAAACCGCAAGCTGGGAACGACCA